TTATACGGATGGTACATGGTCCCTGCCAAATTAAGTAAAATTAACAAAAATCATTCAGACCAATGCTGGAGATGTAACAACAAATAAGGTACACATTACCATATATGGTGGGAGAGTGAATATTTTAAAGTTCTAAACAAAAACTCATGAAACTTCTGTAGAAAATTTTTGTTGTAAAATCATGATCGGACCCCCTTCTCCTTTTTCATATTGACATGCCAAAATGGGGAAAACCTTTTAAATACCTCTCTGGCATTTAATAGTAACATATCTAGAAATTGGAAAAAGCAAGGACAACTAGATTCTCCCTGAGGAATCATTTCGAAGTTTTTAAAGAAATAATCAATGGTGATACATATTAAATATCAATGAAGGTAAAATGTATGTTTTGGGGTTTTTTGTAATGTGAAAAATCAAATAAAGACTTGTATAAAAGAAAAAAATACGACTAAAACTGAAATGGCCTTTTAGTCAAAAGACTATGACTAAAACTAGATTGAAATTTCCCGTCAAAATCAACACTGGTGGGTAAGACATACAGGGGAGGGAGAAGAGGGAATGAGACACATGAGGGCCTGGGGGATTGATACACATAGGAGAATGACATACATGGGGGGCTGGGGGAATGAAACACATTTCTCCTGATCTAGGTTAGTATGCCATATTATATGGGTGTGAGTATTTATTTCTTTAGTACTTTACATTTATCGGAAGTATTTATGGGACGATTGTTCTAACTTATTTGCACTGTATTATGTACTTTTCCTTTCTGTTAAATGCATTATTGTATTGCATGAATAAAACAAATAATGTGCAATTCCTGGTGTGCCTTGGGTTCATTTACTGTTTTGTTTATATATATATCTGGTGGGAAATTGATCTTTTCTTGAGAGCACCCAGTACCCTTTATTACCACATCACTAGATCACCCATTCCAGTAGAGCTTTTCCTGTAACTGTATATGTTATACTCAGATTGTCATCAATAAAAATGGTAGGATCAAGGAATTCAATAGATTTAATCCAAGAAATCCATGTGAGGTTGAGGCCCACATCATTGTCATCCAGGACAGTCACCCAGTTATGGAAAGAAGTCTCATCGTCCTGCCACAGACTGAATCTTTAATCTATGTATTGATACTTATAGAGGTGATGGAATATATGGTACTGGTCCCACCACGCCAAGAACATGTTGGCACAGCTGGGAGCACAACAAGTACCCATGGCATTCCCCCAGTTTTGTAAATACTCCGCTATTGAATACAAAGTAATTATGCCTGAGAAAAACTAATAGTTTCACAACAAAAATGCACAACTGTTGGATTGGCGCAACAGACATCTACAGGCTTCAAGTCCAGCCCCATGTGGAATGCTGGTATAAAGGGACACAATGTCCAGGCTGGCTAAGCTTGATGACTTGGTACGTTGAAGACTTGACAACATTTCTATGGTGGATTAGGTGTCCTGATTGTATGATGGGGACATCAACACAAGAGGATGTAGAATTTTTTCCACAAAGACACTACAGTTCTCAGTTAAACATCCCTTTTCTAAAATGGTAGTCCTGGAGGTTTTTTCAAGTCCTTGTGGACCTTTGGCAAACAACAAAAATGTTGCCATAGTTTATTTGGTGCATAGCGTGAATTTTAATTCCTCCCCAGAAATCAGTTTTTTATGATGACCTCTGTTAGAAGCTCACTGATTTGCTTTAATTCTCAGCAGTAGTTAGAGAACCTCATATCCATTTGAATCACAAAAGTGATCCATACACACACATATATGTATGGACCCCATATATAGGTTTAACCCCTTAAGGACTGGACTGTTTTTGCGATGTTGTACATTTGAGACCAGGCATATTTTTACACTTTTGTGGTGTTTGTGTTTGGCTGTAATTTTCCGCTTTCTCATTTACTGTTCCCATACAAATTATATATTGTTTTTTTCAGGACAAAAGGGGCTTTCTTTACATACCATTATTTATATAATCTCATGTATTTTAATTTAAAAAAAATATGATGAAAAATTGAAAAAAATACATGTTTTTTGACTTTTACTTGAAAAATCTTTTACTCATCTACAAAAGCGAATGAAAAAACTGCTAAATAGATTCAAAATTTTGTCCTGAGTTTAAAAATACCTAGTGTTTACGTGCTTTTTTGCTTTTTTTGCATGTTATAGGGCTATAGGTACAAGTAGGATATTGCGGTTTCAAAACATACATTTTTAAAATTTATCAGTAGTGACATTGTAACACTATTATCTGTCATAAATCTCTGAATAACACCCCACATGTACATATTTTTTTTAAAGTAGACAACCCAGGGTATTCAATATGGGGTATGTCCAGTCTTTTTTTAGTAGCCACTTAGTCGAAAACACTGGCCAAAGTAAGTATTCATATTTGTTTGTGTGTGAAAAAAGTAAAAAAACTAAATTGAACGCTAATTTTGGCCAGTGTTTGTGACCAAGTGGTTACTAAAAAAGACTGGACATACCCCATTTGCAATACCTTGGGTTGTCTTCTTTTGCAAATGGTATGCCATCATGGGGTAATTCTCATTCCTGGGCTACCATACGCTCTCAAAGGCAACGTAACCAACCTGGCCATTTTCAATGTAAAAATATTTGACCCATATATTTGACCTTGTAACTTTCAAAAATGCTATAAAACCTGTACATGGGGGGTACTGTTTTACTCGGGAGACATCGCTGAACACAAATATTAGTGTTTAAAAAACTGGAAAACGTATCACAACAATTATATCATCAGTAAAAGTGCTGTTTGTGTGTGAAAAATGCAAAAAAGTAACTTTCACTGACAATATCATCGCTGTGATATGTTTTACTGTTTTGAATCACTAATATTTGTGTTCAGCTAAGTCTCCCGAGTAAAAAAGTACCCCCCATGTACAGGTTTTAGGGTGTCGTAGAACGTTACAGGGTAAAATACAGTGCTAGCAAATTAAATTCTCTGGACTTTTGGCCTGGGTTGGCAGGCAGGTCCCTTAAATTGCAATCAATAAAATTACTTAATTATGTAAAAATATTACATAAATATGCACGTAGAATTTAAATATATAAGCATATTTATATATTTGAAGTCTACGTGTATATTTATATAATTATTTATGTAATTTTGTATATGGACATCTGTATATTTCGTATTATTTTTATTTATTTATATATACATAGATATATATACAAATTTATTCTAAGTGTATTTTGATATAAATATATATATATTAATTTTAAAATACAGTTAGAATAAAATTTCATATAGATATATAATTTTTTTTTAAATTTTTATTATTATTTAAAAAAAATTATTTAATTTAAATTACTTATTATTTATATTTTAGAATAATATATATATATACAATATATATAGTTATTATATATATTATATATATACGTGTGTAATTTAATTATAAGTGTATTTTTATATTAATATAAGTACATATTAATATAAAAATACACTTAGTATGGCATTATATATATATGATATATAGACATATTATATAGATATAATATATGTCTATATATCATATATACACATATATAATTATTTTATTTTTTTTAATTAACACTAACTTTATTTTTTTTTTCTGATTTTACACAAGCAGGGAGACTGCCTGTCAGCACAGACAGTCCCCCTGCAGGCAGACACATGGACACCTATTGTGACCATGTGATCGCTATGTTGAGCGATCACATGGCCACAGGGGTCCTAATTCAGTGTGGGGAGACTGTCTGGGCTGCAGGCAGTCTCCCCACACCGGGAGCAACGCTGATCACCGCCGGGGGAACGACGGCGATCAGGTAAGTAACGGAAACCGTTAGGACGGTTCAGGACCGTCATCGGTCCGCAATGGGAAAATCCCGATGACGGTCCTGAACCGTCCTTGGTCGGGAAGGGGTTAATAGGTTGGGTCTTTCTATATTTAGCCATCTCTTAGTAGGTTGAGTCTCATTAGTCTAGTTAGAAACAACGTCCTGTACATTTAGCTCAGTTAGAATTATTTTAGGTGGACCTCATCTCTTACTGTTTGGTTCTTATAACTACTATGACCCGAATCCATTATTTCAATACCTTTTTAAATATTTTACTAGTAAAGGTTATGTTATATCAAACTAATGTGTACTTGATTAGTCTGTTGTAACAGCATTGTCAATATATACTAAAATGTTAAACTTTACAATTTTTCTGTGTTTGCTATTCCTTACTTGGACACTAGAGGCACCAAAATAATTTAGCTTAATGAAGGAGTTTTGGTGTATAGATCATGCCCCTGCAGTGCTTCTGCTCAATTCTCTGCCATTTAGAAGTTAAATCACTTTGTTTGTACAGTGAGTTTATATAGTAAATTAAAATCGGAATGGTAAAAAGTAGGCCACAATAGCCAAGCTTTGACGATAGCCAAGTTACAGAATTTCTTCAGCATTTTTCACTAGAATTTTTCCATTCATACATCAGTTTGTTACAATTCAGAGTTTAGTGAATAAACCAGAGATTTTACCCGTTCCCTATAGAAAGGGGAGTATAACGTGACATTACTCTGGCTATGAACTCTACCAGAATGGACCATTTACTTATATTATACCTTAATGGTGTCTTTTACATTTTTCAGTACATCATGGGAGGAGCATATTTACACCGGTGATTACGTTTTATTGTCACACTTTTAGATCATTGTCTTTTTTGTATTCCTTTATTTTTGATCTTATGATCTTTGTTTGTTTGTTTGGTTTTACTTCTATTATTTAAAAGGGAAACATGAAATATCTGCTTGATAGCCTTTTCCTTTCAAAAAGATACAGAACGAGACTGGAGATGTCTTTTTTTTAAATTTATTTAACAACACAACACACAATCATTTGCGATGAATAAGTAAAATACATTCAAGACTATTTAAAAATTATACAAACACTATGAAAAAACACATAAAGACATATATTTTGTAAATTGTTCTCATAAATAGTTTTTTATGTACATCTTACTAAACTTTAGAGACTTGAAGCTTCGATATGTTTCCCAAGACACAGAGGAACGCCAGGCAATACAACTCCACTCCGGGCGCCAACGACCATTCAAATTTGCTATTCCACATCCATTAAACCACCAGCCTGAGCTATAATCCCCGGCACAGTTGTTGAAGGCTATATCACCCACAAAGCATGGATCACAGTTGTCATTGTCTCTGTCCCAGGTGCTGAAAGAGCTCCCATCCTGATTGGACTTTGCTCTGAAAGCATCTCCTAAAACAAGTTTCAATGTGAAATAAAAAGAATACATTATTCCAAACACAAAATAATTTATATTGCCATCTAAACTGACAACATTTGAAAAGAACAATTTTTGGAACTGATAAAAATAAGGGGAAGTGGCAAATTAAGTTTTCAGCGACAGTAGGCAAATATCAATATAGACCTTGATTTAATATCTTGGATTAGCTTTTCAAATGATTTAATATTTTTGTTATAAACTTTCTGAATGATTTCATATTTTTTTAAATATTTTAATTATTTAGACTTTTTTTAAATATTGATATATTTTCTATATATAGTTGTTTTGATATTTTAATATTTAAAAAAATTGTAATTTTAAAGGTTTATTCAAAAATATTACATTTTTTGAAAATCGTACCCAAAAATATTAAATCAAAGTAACAGTTCAGCTTTTAAAGTAACAACACATAGTAAATGTAAAATGTGTTCTCTAATTCAGTGTGCACGTTCACAATCACCCACAATAGCTGGATTTCGGACAAATCACACTAGAACCTTTGTGCTTTATAGTCATTGGATTGTTCTCAGAATTATGTTGGCTTTTCATAGATAGTTGAGAGCCTCCGTTTGAATGGGCTAGCAAAAACAGAATTGGAAGTATTTTCACTATATATATCACAACATATCTTTATTAGATGTGATCTTTATATTGGAGTAGAACGTATTCTGTACACATTCTCTATATTGATGCAGAACATTCTAAGCAGCCAGCTTTTATATTCAGGCACCAGATATTTGCATTGTTTTCTAGTGGTATTTGTATATCAATGGAAAAACAAAAATGTACCATTTAGGGGGATGGGTCTATTCCACTCCGAGCTATTTATCTAGAAATTCTCAGTATATTCATTGATTTTATGTCTTCAAATAACTATAACAGAATAACCATTACAGTTGATTTGTTTATACACATTATTATTATTATTATTATTATTATTATTATATAATTGCTAATTCTAATAGATTTCCTAGAACAGTCCCTATTTTAGGATCATTTCTGAAAGAAGGCAGTGAGTATTGTTTTTTGGGCTGAAGTAGTTTTTTTTTTTTTTAAAGTGCTGTTTCTTTGGAAACACCACTGTGCCAAAACATGCCAGCCTTCCCCTGATTTTAGCTAGCCATGTAATATGAGATACAACAGGCAATATGTTATGTTCAGTGCAATGCTCAGAAATAAATAAAAAAATTTAAAAAACACACACACATATTCACACATCAAAGGGAATTTTAAATGTAAGGCCAAAGGAGCCAAACTTAAAGCACAGCTGACTTAAAGGATTTCTCGAGTTCGGCTATTTTTACCTTAATTTGAAATTCCCTTTGCATTGACCCTTTAGTGAATACGTCTGACAGTGTTAACATAGAAGGCATTACAGATATTTTCAGACCCCGTACCTGCATTCCCAGAATAGTTTCCCAGCGATATCCTGTACTGCATGTCCTCGGAGCCGATGGTAAAAGGACTGTATAGCGCAAAAGCCTCTGATTTATCAAAGTCTCCCAGGCTGATAAGCAGGTCTGCAGCTCTGGAACCCTGACGGGTCAGCAGATACATCTTCTCAAGTCCCAGCCAATGTTCCCCTTCAACAAGAAATGACATTGAGATCACACACATTCCGTCATAGAATAGCCCAGTACCTACACAGGGAATTGTCTCTATATATTTAAGGGGGTGCTGAAAGCAGACACATACATTTGGTTTGGTGTAATGTGCTTGGTAGGATACAGTTAGTTATGCTGAATGGATTATTTTATTAATCTTCACTAGTTTTTCTTTAAATTAAAATTAGTCTCCCTCTATAATCTCACACTTTCTCACCTTCCCTCCCTGTTTTAACAATTGAACTGCAACTCCCAGAAACCCCTGTGGATTTAAAGTACTGCCTATGGGATCAGCTAAGCAGTGCTAGAAATAACGAGCATCGTAACTGGCTGATTCTCTTCCTGGTTTAGTGAGTATTCTTTTCAGATACAGACAGAGAATTTACAGGAAATGCAATACATTCAGAAGTCAATATACAGTGCATTTAGTTGTAATATATTGTTTTGCCATTTTTTTATGCATTATCTGTTTCAGTGGTTCCCAAGCCAGATCTCAAAGCAAACCAGCTGTTTTATTAATACCTCCATTGAAAATGAATAGTGGAAAGCATAAATGTGGACTGCTGGTTTTAACTGAGAAATGGGTTGGGAATCACAGAACTAAATAATACATTTAATAAATCGAACACAAGAGGAATGGTATGGCGTCTTCAAATGCAGCCATGGGATTTAGTCACTGATTAGCAATAAAATATATATGTCAGCTATGTCTGTATCTGACAATAATGCCCCATATAATTAATAAAATGCCTTTCTAAAAAAACTAGACCTGCAAAGGACAGCAGGGGTAAGCAGCCATTCGGCATTCCAGCATAAGGAAGATAGAAACATAGAATGTGACGGCAGATAAGAACCATTCGGCCCATCTAGTCTGCCCAATTTTCTAAATACATTGGCTAAATACATTATGGCTGTAAGAGCATCCAGGAACATGTAGTCCACAACATATGAAATGCTGTAGGTTGAACACACCACTCTCAAGCTTTCCTTTCTTTACCCAGCAGTGGCACTTTCTGCAATGAAAGGCCTAATACCCTACACAGCGTCAGTGGCCGAAGCAGAAGGAGTAACTGTACTACAAGGGTAATAGTTTGTTTCTCTGTCAGTCAAGGACCTGCACAGGATTAGTGCGAAATTATTGTACGAACAGGTTTGGTATTGAAGGTCATAAGAAATAATTCTCAGCAATTACCAGTCAGCTTTCCAAATCCCTCTCTATAGTTCACCCAAGATCTGTCGAAGGGCAATTGATCATTTCCATTGTGGCTTTGGATTAGAGTCAAGCCACCGTCCTCCTTCATTTCACAGAAAGCCTGCAGGTCAAACAGGAACATTTAGTTACCATTAGGGAGTATTTTAAAATATAGCAACTAAATAACTAATACTTTATGGAATTGGTAAATGGCCACTGGACTTTACGAATAACTTACAATTCTATTATCATCCAGAATCCAGAAACTAAATGCACAAGACTACTAGTCAATAAAACAATGTATAATGTAGAAATTACACAGCAGTTAATGGAACCGGCATTTGTATCAATTTAAAAAAGGTATCACGGATATCAGGCCAAAATAGCAAAATGGAGAAAAAAAAAAATCGCCAGCTATACCAGGATTCCCTGTATAATAAACTAATCGACACCAAGAAAACAATGATTTTTAACAGCCCTCCGACTCCGTTGGCCAACATTTTGCAACAAGTTGTGGTAACATTTCCTACCTGGAAAGAATTTGTGGCTCCAATAGGTTTAATTCTGTAAACCCCGCTGACAGAGCTTTGGTTTCTCAGCCAAATATCTGAGCAGTCATATCCTGAAATGGAAATAAAATAATAATTATTAAAATGCAAATCCAAACAAATAAAATGCAGGTTTATTCATTAAACGTCCAATTGTTTTGAATTGAAAATTAAAATTGCAAATCTTAAAATAAAATAGCCAAGCGGTGGCTATAGGTGAGAATATCATCATTTTTTCGTCTACATTTTGCAATACTTTTTTTTTTCAGTTCACTGCAACTTGTGTTTAGTAAATTAATCTCATATTATTGTGCAACATATTTATTGCTAAATTATAAATAAAAATACAAAATAACACTTTGCAGATATTTTGCTAATGATAAAAAAAAGCCCAATTACTGTTATCATTACAGCCTTTAAGTAATAACTATTAAAATAATAAACTAAGTCAGCTTGTGCTGTAGATATAAATAAACCATCCATGATGGGTCAGATTCTATGGTTATCTGACCAACTGCTGCTCAGCCCAACTTTCCTGCTGCTGTGATTCCCCTGTGTGATCTGTGTCAAACTGCAGCAGAGGCAAGTTAGGCTGAGCATGGCTGCTTAGCTATATAGAAAAGTGAACTTAATAAAAAAAAATCAAAAATACATAATTAAAAAAGAATATCATCAAGTTTCATTAAATGTAATTAACTTTTTTTTTAAATAGAAATTCTAATTTGATGAAAGTTGTCCTTTAACCCCTTTAATGTGTGACATGTCATGATTCTATTTTATTCCAGAAGTTTGGTCCTTAAGGGGTTAAGCAGTGCTCAGTGAATGGGCTGTCCTGATTGGTTATCCTGGAGAACGCCTGTTATCCTGTGTACGGACAGGCGCTTCCAACTTATCACTATCCTCACTCCCGCACTCAAAGTGTGAGAATTAAAGCAAATGGAAACAGAATGTCAAAATCGACATTAAAAGAGCTAAACTGTGAAAATAGCTGGATTGGAAAGTATTTTAAAATCAACTATATTTGCATCAATTTTGACATTCAGATTTGTATTTGCTACGGTTCAGAGTTTTTTGTTTTTTTTCTATTAGTTTTCAAATGTTTTTTCTTCCAGTACTTTTTCAAAGTTGTCGGATTTGGAATAAAATGGTATCCAGTGATAAAATCTGACGTAATCAAACAGCATTATTTAATTGAAATACAATGTTAGAATTTAAAGTTCGATCCGTTGCATATATTAGGTATTTACAGACAGTAAGGTTTGCTGAGAGTGGAAAGCATTGAGTAACAGCACACTTAAACACAACTTACCTGAAATGACTGGATCATCTGTCACAGGCTGGAAAGAAAAAAAATGTTACAAATAAAAAAAATAATAATAAATGTAATAAAAAATTATTTAATAAATAGTAATTATTAAAGTAATCAGCACTGACTAATGGACACATATTATAAAATAAACTTCTCCATGTTCCATCACAATATTAACGTTAATTATAATAAATCGTTAACATATATTTACATAGTATGAACGTCAATTAAGAGAACTTACGAGTGCACTAAAGCTGTTAAAATAAAGACCAAATAAGATGAAATATCCAAACAGGTTGAATGATGGCATTTTCATATATCTGGGGAAAAATAAAAACATAAAAAATAAAATAGATTAAGGCAATGTTAAAGGGTTTGTACACTGTGAGCTGTAATGAACTGCAAAATGTAGACTAAAATATTTACAATGGGGAGAAATATACAATTCATGTTAAATTACTACAAAAATATAAAGATAACATAAACGTCATGTATTACATGACAAAGTACCCTCATTGGAGTGAGGATAACAAGCAAAGGGTAAATTTCTAATATTTATGACTAAGTCTTATTCACAAGAATATTTGACAAAAATATACTTTGCAGAAGATAGATCAGATAATATAGAAAATACACAGAGAGAGTAGCAATGAGCAGGGAGATCCCAGAGTAGCTCCTTACCTGTCAGTCAGTACAGTAGAAGAATCAAGGCTCTATAAATCTCACTTGACTATTCCTTCCCCTTAAATAGCCCGAGCTAACAAATCCAATCTCGGCACAGCCAATCAGAAGATTGCATTTCATCCATTCATCCACAGATCAAACAGGTACCCGGTTCAACTATATAATTGCATTAATAAGGCAAACAATAGCCACAAAAACTAACTTTTCAAGTTTGAAGTAGCCGACAGTTTACAGGTTACAAAATGAAAATACAAGATTTTATCAATTTCTTGCAGAAATCAACACACTATACAGGATAATTTAATTACGTCTGATAGAAAAAGTTTATTTAATTAGCTACTCGTACTGCTAAATTCAATGTAATGCCATTTCTGGTAGCGTTATATTAGAATATCCTACCTGTGAGTAGTTGCAGCCTCACTGTGTTTGGAGGTTTTCTAACTGATGGGAGGGATACAAGGCTTGAAATTCATAAACATATTCAATATATTAAGGGTAATTTTCCAGATATATGCTGCGCCCAATACTTTAAAAAATTGCTCTCTTACAACATAGGTGACTATGTAAATTTTCAGTCATTTCACCCATTACACTTAAAGAAACACTCCAAACACCATAACTACTACAGCCCGGTTGTGTGATGACAGGAGTGCCCCAACAGGAGTGACAGGAGTAGTGGCTATGGTGACAGGAGTGCCCTAGTGATGTCCCATGGTTTGACCTGCCAAGCGCCAGAACCGCATCCGCTGCATTCTACCTTCTCAGACAGGAAAGTTCAAGTCGGTCTTAAGAAGATATCAGAATCATGCAGGACTATGTCCATTGGCTATGAGCATCAGTGAGCGCAGTCCTGCATTTGGTTTACTTTACTCCTTCTGGAGAAAACTGCATGTGGTGCAGGTGCTCAGCAGGACCCGGTTAATTTGCCAAACCATGCTAAGACAGTGCGACATCATACTATAGACAGAACCACCATAACTACTACAGTCGGCGCAGTGATTATAGTGCTTGGAGTGTTCTTCCTGCCAGGTTCTGATGCTCCCTGGTGGTCCTGTGATGCACTTCTGGCTTCTGTAGAGCCACGAATGCCAGAAGCTGCAGAGGTCGCCAATCATTGGCTGAGAACTTCATCTGACCACTCTCAGACAATTAATGTAATTTTGTCCAATTAAAGTTGCGCTCTAGTTGCACTGCCGGAGGTGGAGTTACACAATCAGCAG